TTCCATCTTTTTGTTTGTGATAGTGACCTCACTTCATCTCAGTTTGAAATTCAGTTTCTAATTATGAATGCCTTTGGGGTGCAATAAAAAGAGAATCAGTACTTTTCCAAACTCCAGCATTGTTTATGTAGCCAAATAACAGCTCCCTACCCACTCAATGCATGAGTAAATTCTCCGCAGATCCAGGATAATCCTGAAATGTTTAGAATGACAATGAGCCAACCTTTATACAGGATACCTCCTAAAATTAAAAATAGCTCACTGCTCTGTGCCAAAAAAAAATGAGCCAGTGTGGTGTAATTCAGACATTAGAATGAGCAAGGAGAACTAAGTCCACCTTCAACTAAAAAGCTCAAGTTATTTTCAATCCAGACTATCTCATTGGACTGTTACTGTGAGAAAATATTGGAAGGCAGTGTTATATTTGTATGTTATATTCATGATTTGTAAATAGATTTAAACATCTGACTCTAGTAAAGCAAAGCAAAGCATAAAACAAAGAAGAAAATGCTGATGGTATTTGCTGTGACGTGGGGACTAAGGGAATGAAGTACAGTTGTGTAGGTACTGTGGAGGCCATCAATGTTATTACAAGGACACTGGTTCATTCAACAGTATGCCCCTCATTGCTGTACCAGACCCTCATGAGAAGGAATGATGGCAGAATTTCCAGGGATACTGAGGGCATTACAATAGTTTTGACACCATTTTTTATCTTATCTATAATTTCTGGCTATCTGTTTTTCCTCCCTTGCTGAATTCACGTTGGATATGGTGGACTGACTTGGTAATACACAGGTAATTCTTTACTTATGTAATTGAGCCCAGAATTATGCTGGTAAGTTATTGTAGTCATAAATCAAGACATCATGTGACTTGATTCAAAGTTACAATCATTTTTTATGATGGCCAATAAGGGAAAGCCATAGGTGTGAATGTGGTTGTTGTTAAGTAAATCCATTTTCCCCAATGGGTTGTGGGGGTTTTGTTGCCAGAAATCAAAAGTAAATGCTGGAAACCATCAAAAAAATGCTGTAAATTGCAGTCACGTGACTGCGGGATGCTACAAATGGCCCTAGAGGTGAGCCTGTTGTCAAGCACCCAAAATACAATCACATGCTCACAGATATGTCGTGTGTGGCCATTGCAACTCCAAATCTGGGTTGTAAATAGCTCTGGGGAGGTCTCTTGTAACTTCAAATGGTTATTAAATTACTGGTTTTAAGTCCAAGACTATCTGTAGTAATATACAGCCCCTCTAATCTCAGAATAATAGTTTACACTTAAGAAACTTTTTAATATTTAGTGAATAATGTTTCCAGAATATTTACAATGTGTTTAGAAATAGTATATGAAAAACATTAAAAAGTAAAACTACTATTTTTTGTTGATTTGTGTGTAATGTGTTCATAGAATCACACAGTTGGAAGGGACCTTGAAGGCTATCCTATTTGATGCATTTGTTGCTCCCTAAATGTTGATAGAATCAAACAATCATAGATTGGATGGATCCTTGGAAGTCTTCTACTCAACCCCATGCCCAAGACAGGAATCCTCTGACTACCCCAGACAAATGGTTGTTTAATCTTTGCTTGAAAACCTTCAGTGATGAAGCACCCACAGCTTCAGGAGGCAGGCTGCTCTACTGCTTAATAACTCTCAAGGTCAGGAGAATTCTCTTCTATGTGACTGCCTTTCATGTATTTGAAGACTGCTATCATGTCTCCTCTTTGCCTTCTCTTCTTTAGTCAAACTTATCCAGTTCCTTAACTGTTCTTCACAAGATTTAACCTCCAAATCCCTCACCATCTTTATTGCCCCTTTCTGATGTTTTCCATAGCATTCCAGATATGGTCAGATCAGTGCAGCTAGAGTGGAACTATCACTTCCCATATCTCTCTTGGTGCAACCCAAGATTGCATTCGCTCTTTTGGCAGCTGCAGCTCACTACTGGTTAATGTTTCATCCGTGGTTTACCAGGGCACCAAGATCTTTCTCACAAGTCGTACCACCTCCCTTGTATTTGAGCACCTGTTTTTTCCTACCTAAGTACAGAATCTACATTTCTCCAGTTGAATAGCAATTTGTTGCATAGGGCCTGATGTTCACATCTATCAACATCCTTCTGAATCTTGAGCCTGTCTTCTCAATAAATCCTCCCTCCCCTGCTTTGTGTCATTTGTAAATTTGTTGAGCATCCCTGGTACCCCCTCAGCTAAGTCATCTGTGGAAATGTTGAAAAGCCCTGGCTGGATCTGGGGCAGAACAGGAGATAAGCAGTAACCAAAGACATTATACATCCATCAAAAGCAGCCATAATTATGAAAATTACCAAAATTGTACGGAAGAGCTACAAAAGATGTCATCCGAAGGAGGTTAGACTTGTGAATATTAGCGCAACTGATACTTGTTGCAAGTAATAGGCCTGTTCATGCTTACCAATAAGGACATATTAAATGATGGTTTCTTTAAGTCAGTGGTTCTCAACCTGTGGGTCGGGACCCCATTTGGGGTCGATCGGCCATTTCAGGGAGGTCGCCAAGCAAGGCTGTCCGCCATTTTTTTTGTCCGCCATTTTTTTGTCCACCATTTTTTTACCCTTTTCCGGCGGGTGCCTTACTTCCCTTGGGCTGGGCCAGCTGGTGGTCGGCCTGCTCCGTCTCTGCCGCTTGCCAGCTACGCCTCGGCCGACGCAGGGGGCAGAACCACGCATGCGCGGCGCTCCCAGGAGGGAAAGTCCTCGACTTACGACCGGTTGGGTAGTCCTTGACTTACGACCGGTTGGGTAGTCCTCGACTTATGACCGGTTTAGTCCTTGACTTACGACCGGTTGGGGTCGCGGCATTAAAAAGGTTGAGAACCACTGCTTTAAGTGAAACTGCTTTCCCAGCTTCTATATCACTTCACCTGCTAGACTTTATTATTGAAACATTTCATAGCAACCTATCAAGGGGCAGAGAACAGAACTGCAGTCAAACAATGAGAAATATTTTGGAGGCTTATAGGTGTGCAGTGCTTCTTTGTTTCCTGTTTTGCAGACATAGAGTTATAATCAAATGGTTCTCAAAGCTTCTGAATTTTACATTCTTTACTGTCAAACAGTAAAGTATTACTGCAGTTAGTGAAACATTATTCATATTCCATTACTCCTAAACTCTCCACAATATTCCTTCATACCAAGCTAGAAGACTCCAGAGGACTCATTTTCTGTGTTAGCTGGATTACTAATGCTGACAGATTTTGTTCATTTGTTCAGCAGTTGCAGGTGGGGAGGTTAAATGAGCCACAGAGACCTTACAGCGAGACAGAGTGCTCCATTATCCCTTCCAAAATGACAAGGGTATGGTATAATATATACACCCATACAGTCACACGCGCACACATTACAAGGCTGTACTCATCGTTCCTGAATGAAATTCTGCTCCTTCAAATTGTACGTTGTTGAAAATCTAAGTATGAAAACTCATCCCACATTTGTATGCAAATTGAAATGGGTGTTTTAATGTTTTTGTCCATGAACTGTTAGCATTACAGTTACCAGGCAGGTATTATATTCTTTCTCAGTTTTGCTGTTAGTGAATCATAATATTAATAAAGTTAGCTCTGGCTTCTTCCTTCCTTCCCTCCTTCCCTCCCTCCTTCCCTCCTTCCTTCCTTCCTTCCTTCCTTCCTTCCTTCCCCCCTTCTTTAAAATATGCTATTGCAGAATGCAAGTAATTAGCTAGTTTGACCTGAACACGATTTTAGAAAACATTTAAGATTGGGAAGGGGCTGGGGGAGATATTATACAGCAATTAGCCTTAATATATGTTGCAGTATTCGAATGCAAAACTGATAAATGATCATTTAACTCCCAGTTACAGAATAAATTGCCCAGTCTGAAGTATGTTGCAAGAGTTAAAATGTCACATTCAGAGAATCATAAGGTTTGAAAGGTACCTTAATGTCTGCTAGTCCAGCCCCTTTTCTGGGGCAGGAATCACACCAACCCAGACAAATGACTGTCCAGCTTTTGCTTGAATACTTCCAGTTATTGCGCATCCACAACTCCAGGAGGCAGCCTGCTCTCTGCAGAGTGCTTTTATGGCCAGGAAATTCCTTCTTTTGAATTTGGCTCTCCTTCTGTAAAGCTTCCGCCCAGTGCTTTTTGTCTTACCCTCAGGAGCTATGAAGAATAAATCTACACATTTCTCCCTGTGACATGCTTCCAGGTATTTAAGGATTGGTCTCTCTCCTTACCTTTCCAGAAAGTTATATGTATTATTAATTACATTTTATATAAACAGGGGTTAGGGCTGGTAATTTCCAGCAAGCAAAGTTGGTGAGCATTCTAAAGCTCGCTTTGCTGTTTTTTTTTTAAATGAAAAATAAATTACTACTTACCAGAAAGTAAACAAACAAAACAGTTTTATTTTATTTTCTTGTTTTATGAAATGATTTCTCTTTGTAAAGAATTTATGTGAAGGTACCCGATGAATATTTCTTGTAAATAAAGGTGAGTCAGTGCGAAACCTTGATCGTGTTTCTAAAGCCATTAAAACAGTTCAACACAGAAGAAAAAATGTAATGAATTTGTTTATTTGTATACAAAATGTCATAATTTATCAATACTGTGCAGCAAAATATATTATCACTCACATCCCAAACTAGACAACATTTCACATTTTCATTCTCTCTTTGCCCTTTGAAAATGGCAATACTGTTTTGGCAGTTCAGCAGCTAAAAATAAAGTGCTATAATTACGTAGTCTTGGAATGCCTTCACTTCACAAATACAATGTACAATCTTGTATACATTCATGGTTTGTTTGTTTGTTTGTTTGTTTTTAGTTTAGTTTCACATAATCAGAAACTCCAGACCTGTCACATTCTCAAGAATACACATACATAAAGTGCTACTGTTTAAACATCTCCCCCCAAAACAATTTCACAACATGGATCTGGTTCATACCAGGCACTGTAATTCACAAAAGTTGAAAATTGTCACTTTGTGCAAACCTACACAGAGGGAGAAGTCACTTAAACATCACTGGGGGATCTTGAACGAAAGGACACTTTGGATTGAAAACAGCCACAGAAGAGAACCCACATGGACCTCTGAATTTCTTGGTTTCTGTAGGCATAAATTATGGGATTGATCATGGAGTTGTAGGTAGCAGGTAAAAGGGTGGCATAAGTGTACACCGCAGGGTAGTTTGAATCTCCAATGACACAGTAGATAGCAAAAGGTAACCAACTGGCCCCAAAGGTTCCAAGGATAATAGCGAGCGTAGAGACTCCTTTTTTGGTTGCAACATAGTGAGATGCGGTTAAGAAGTGCTGTTGGAGTGCGATTTGATGTGCATGCCTGCAAACTATTTTGCAGATTTTAATGTACAAGTGGAGCATAAGGATGAAAATGAAAAAGAAGGAGGCAGACAACAAAGTCACATTGCTTTTGGTCAAAGGTCTGGCAATACTGCATGATGAATAATCTTCCATACAATTCCAGCCTAGGACGGGCAATAGTCCTAAGCAGAGGGACACCCCCCAGGTGATGATTAGCATCATATGAATACAAAAAACAGTCTTCTCAGAGTAATAAGTCAGTGCATTGTACAGAGAAAGATAACGATCTACTGTGATCGCTAATAAGCTACTCACAGAAGCAGTGAAAGAGGCAACTAGGAAACCAACGGTAATAAGGCTGATGGTTTCTGACTGGATCACATATTGGAATACAAAATTAAGGATTAGGCCAACTCCAGCCAGGAGGTCTGCTGTGGCCAGGCTGCCGATCAGCACAAACATTGGGGTTCTCAGACTGGGAGTGTAGAATATAATGGCCACCACAATGGCATTTTCACAGGCAATAACGGTTCCGGAGATGCAGAGCATAATATCCCAAGGATTGAGGACAAAGATAGGGAGCTTGGAGGAAAATTCCAGCGAAGAATTGCCCCTGCTGCTCTGAATCCAAGGTGCCGCAGCCCCGGTCTCGTTCAAGGGGAGGCTTTCGTTCATTTCTGCCACAGCCAGCAAAGCCACCTGCAAAGGGGGAAAGACCAGAAAGAAGAAAAGGGGGTGGTTAAAATAAGGCAAAGTCCATTTCCCTGCAGCCTCTGCAAATACATAAGAAGTGCAAGAATGGCAACGAAGGCAAAAAGAAAAAAAAGGAAAAAAAAAAAAAGAATGAGGAATAGAGTGTGAAATCCAGCAGGAAGGTGAAGGTAATGTATGAAGGAGGGAGAATTAATCGGAGCAGGAAGGAAGAAAAGGAACGGAAGTCGGTTCACATCGGTGACGGAGCCCGGCTTGCAGAAGCCGCCGAGTGCTGTCCGTGGTGCTGAACCTCAAGTTTCCTTTCCCGCCCCATCTACCTCTTGCCTCTTGCTCTACGAGCAGAGTTCTCGGGCGCCGTCCAAGCGCAGGTGATGGGCTAGCTAGACCCCAGTCCTAAAAAAAAAAAAAAAAAAAAGCCTCTACTTGCTACCAGGAGCACTTTCTTCTCCCCGGGACTGCAATTCTCCCACCTTACACGCCCCCCGAACCGGCAAGACCACTTCCTTACTCGGATTCGATCTCAAAGCTGACCGCTGCTTCTCATGAGTGTCGGCTGCTTTCGCCGCTGATCCGCTCCCGTCGCGTGGCTGCAGCCGCCTCTTCTCTTTGCCTTTGGCGGGCAGGAGCCGAGGAGGCGGAGAATTGGCTGGCGCCGCTGCAACCCTCCGTAGCCCGAGAGCGAGGGAGAAAGAGCGGGAGCCCGAGACCGCTCCGAGCCTGACGTAAATGGCAGCGAGGCGAGGGCAGGGCGAAACTCTCCGTTGCGCTCACATGGAGCTCTGGCTCACATGGAGCTCTGGGGGCGGAGAAAAGGCGCGGAAAAAAACCCTCCCCAGATGGTGGCATTAAACTAAGGAAAGGGCAAGCGCTGCCGAACTTCCAGAGGGGGGGGGGGAAACGAAAAGCGGGGGGGGGGATATAGTGATCCTAATCACAACTGGGAGAAAGGGAAGAGTGGAGAGAACGTGTGGAGTGATGGGAAGAAACCTGAACCCAGCTGGAGCGGAGGAAAGTGCAGTGTGTGGATAGGGTTGCCAGGTCTGCTTCCAAAAAATAGCGGACAAGCGGTGTGTGTGTGTGGGGTTAAGTAGTAAAAAAAGTAGACCGTACAGCTTTAGATTACGTACCATTTCATCATAAAGCTTTTGAATAAAAAAAAATGTCCACTATTTTGTGGGAAAAAAATAGTGAACATAATGTGAAAAAAGTGGACTGTCCACTCAAATAGTGGACACCTGGCAACCCTATAGTGTGGAAGGGAGCCATCGGAAGCCGGCAAACCTGGGGGAGAGGGGAGAAGGGGAGGGGGAGAAGGGGATCCTGTAAGGCAGGGGTCTTCAAACGTGGCCCTTTTATGACCTGTGGACTTCAACTCCCAGAATTCTGGGAGTTGAAGTCCACAGGTCATAAAAGGGTCACGTTTGAAGACCCCTGTTGTAAGGAGTGCTCAGCGTTGAGGGCAGTGCCCCCAGACAGAAGTATGGACCCTCTGAGGCAGACGATAACCACTTTCTGAAGATGAGAGATGGCCTGAAGCCTGAGCCGGTTCAGCGAAAGTAAGGTGGTCCACAAAGTATCAACTGAATACTACAGGCAGCTAATCCTCCAACTCCTTCATGGGCTCTGTGCCTATTGGCAAAGCAGTGCTGTGTTGCACTTGCCTTGGCCATTTTAAAAGCGGCCGTTGCATGCAAGCAGCCCCAATAGGTGGCAGCATGTAGCCAACCTTGTTTTATCCAAGAAGCTAAGCAAGATAGGCTGTGGCTATTATTTGAATGGGAAACCAACAGAGATTTCCAGAGTGTAGATTAGATTGGAAATGGGAAAATACACTGTGGGATTTTTCTTGTGGCCAAGAAAAGTGGATCGATGTGCAATAGAAACTGGAAGTCAAACTTGACTAGAGGGTTCTTTTACCACTTTGTGAACCCACAGAGTGGGTTGGTTCACTCTTGGTTCAGAGAGAAGATATTGGCTCATTTCCAATATCTTGGAATGTCAATTTTCTTCCTTAGGTGTGAAGTCCAGAGGGTATTCCATGAGTTGTAGGAAAAAATGAAATGTTTAAACAGCTAAATAATTAACATAATACTTTATGTGCAGATCTCATATCTAGGCATTTTTAAAGAGCCAAAAGAATCTCTTCAAGAGACTACAGCAGTAGAATACGCTCTGGAGTAGGAATACTCTTCTCCAATGTTGTGCCTCCATACTGTCAAACGACATTTCCTAAAATTGTAATCCTAATAATCTTGAGATACAGAGTGCACAAAACAACAGGTAAGTCTGTTCCTGCAGACTCTCATTCTATAAAATACACTTTCACAAATGAAGTTAAAATGCATCTTGTTGAATGGATTCTGATTTAACTGAAATCACCAGGATGGTGAAAGGCATAAATGAAAGCCAATTTTCTTGAATGGATAAAAAGCTGAATTAAAACCCAGATACACATATAATAAACTATCTTTGGTTTATATTACATCACTTTTTCACATCCTCGTTTTCCCAAATATGTAACAAAAATAACAGAAGGGCTTTTTTGGACTGCTTATAAGCACAATGATTAAAAATCCAGACAGCTCTTTGAAATTTAAAGTACCATATTTAAGAAGAAATAGTATTGATAACAGTAATTCTGATTAGAACTGGTGAAAACTGTTAAGCAAAATTTCTTACTAATTTTTACTAATTAGTTTCTTATTAATAACTCATACCTTATGGAATGATCCCCTAAGGATGTGCAGCTAGTTCTGTGGGGCACAAATAATATTCTATTTTTACATTATGATTCTGAAGGGATATTAGACTGAGCAGGTACACTTAAACTGCCTCATGACCCTGGAAGGGAAGAAGACAGATAACAAAAACCCTTTTATCTTTTCCATGATGTGAAGGGACAATGTATGTATTAGAACAGGGGTCTTCAAACTTGGCTGATACTCAGCGTGCCTGGCTGAGGAATTCTGGGAGTTGAAGTCCACAAGTCATAAAAGGGCCAAGTTTGAAGACCCCTGTATTAGAAGAAGCTAGTATCAGTAGAAAGGTTGGCTTGGAGCTCATTAGAAAAGCAGAATGTAGAGGCCATGGATCAGCCCACAGTAAAGTCACCCTATGTTATTAGATTCTATATTCCTGCATTAAAAGTCATGTCATAATTGCTTACGTTGTTTTTGTAAGTCTTGCCATTTCAAAAAGTATATAACAGTGGTGGCGAACCTATGGCACGGGTGCCAGAGGCGGCACTCAGAGCCCTCTCTATGGGCACGCGCACCATTGCCCCAGTCCTAGGCCTTCAGCTGGGTTTTATAAAACCTTTTCGCTTTAGGCCTCTGCCGCCGTGTACCAAAAAAAAAAGGGTTCAATCAATCAGTCAATTTCAACTTCTCGCGGGGAAAAAAAAGATCTTGCAAAGTTGGAATTGATTGATTGAACTTTTTAGTCCCACCCAGTCTGCCGTTACCACTGCAGCCATGTCCATCCAATGGGCCACACCCATCCAATGGGCCACACCCACCCGGCACCCAACGATGCATAAGTGGGTTTTGAGTTGCAGTTTGGGCACTCAGTCTCTAAAAGGTTCGCCATCACTGGTATATAACCTGTAAAGGAGGGGTGTGTGTCATGGTTCAGAGATTAAAGACGCTGAGCTTGTCAGCTGGAAAGCTGACAGCCGGGATTCAAGACCTGAGCACCATGCAATGGGGTGAACACCTGTTACTTGCCCCAACCTCTGCCCACTTAAGCAATTTGAAAGCATGCAAATGTGAGTAGATAAATAAGTACCATTTTGTTGAGAAGATAACAGCATTCCATGCGCCTTGACGTATAGTTATGCTGATCACATGACCATGGAAATGTCTTCAGACAACACTGGCTCCCTTGGCTAAGAAATGGAGATGAGCACCGTCCCCTAGAGTTGGACACGAATGGACATGTGAGATCTTTACCTTTATAACCTGTAACCTTGCTGGATTTAGGGTTCTTCTGCATTCTTTGGGTGAGGGAGCCCAGTAATCATTGTAGTTATGGATGCAAATAAAAATACTTTGTTGCACCTGGTCCCCAAACACTTTGTTTCTTTACTTAAGTGGGCATTTTCTTTCACAACAATTCCTTAAGTCACAGAATTTTAAACAGCTGAAACTGTATATTTTAATGAGGAGTTATGCTGCTGTTTATTAGTATTTTATTGCTGAAGTTCGGGAAAGAGTGCTTTATAATTTATGTGGTTCATTTAGTATTGTTTTCTTAATTTTAGAGCTTCATTAATATGCTGCTGCATTTTTAGGTCTGTATTTTGTTCACTGCCCTTTGGTCAAAGAAGAAATACTTTATAAATATTTAAATGAGTGAATGAGCATAAAACTGCTCTCAGACAATCCACTGCTATGCCCTGTGTAAACGTCAACAGATTTTCACAGAACTGATTTTCAAAAAACTTTACAAATGACAAAATAAATAATTTCACACTTAAATTGCAGTCCTAGGTCAGAATGATCCATTGTGGACTTACGCAACTTTCTTCAAGGGAATATTGGAAGGGAGAAGGTTGAGACAGTGAGAGCAAATTTGAAATTTAACTGGTGGGAAAATAGCCATGTATCAAAACAGGGAGCAGTTCTCTTACATTTTTTATTATATTTATATTCAATATATATTCTTTTCCCGAAGAAAGTTTAGGGTTAGTTAAAACAAGGGTGACAATTAAATTGTCTTCTCACATCACTTCTTGCATCCAAACACTGCACAGCCCTAATACGTTTTGTTGGTAGCAATCTGGTGAGATTTTTTTCATTCCCTAAATCTTCGGAAATGTTCTGAAAACAGTTTGTTAGACACTGATCACTCACAACACTTTGCCACTCTTCAGAAGAAGGCCAGTGGTCCTTCCAGTCAAATAATGAGGAACTTCAAAACTTGGTCTCTAGTCAGCTCCACCTTCAGTGTTGTCTGGCTGCATTTGTTTTCCTAGGCAATCCCCCCCCCCCCCAAAAAAAAAACAAACTATCACTCAGTTAAAAAGCATAATGCCTGCAAAAAGGTAAAGGGTTCCCTGTCCAGTCAGGTCCAACTC